CCACCTCTCATCTAACTCTATGATCCCTCTTCTCCTCTCTCGGCTCCCAAAGGAAGTCTCTCATCATCCTCTCTAACGTGCTAGCCACCTTCAATAGGACATTAAATACTGACATGAAGTAGATGGGTAAGTTTGCTAGTGTGGCCTTAATCAGTGTAATCCTTCCACCAAGAGAGAGATAATTCTTTTTCCAGGATGCAAGTCTCTTTTCAAATCTTTCCACCACCGGGTTCCAAAAGCTCTCTCTCTTAGGGTTGTCACCTAGAGGCAACCCAAGATAATTTAAAGGCCATTCCGAAACTTCACACCCAAGCACTTCTGCACTCTCCCTGATCTCTCCCTCTTCCAAGTTTACACTCACTACACAGCTTTTCCCAAAGTTCACCTTCAAATTTGACATTTGCTCAAAAAGTTGTATCACCAACTTCATGTTCCTATTAAAACCCACATTACCTCTTTCACATAATAGAATTGTGTCATCAGCAAACTGTAAATGGGTGAGGGGTGTTTCCTCCCTTCCAACCCTCCATCCTTTGATAAGACCCCTAGAATCTGTCCTGTGTATCAACTTCCCCAAAACATCAACAATCAGAATGAACAGACTACAGAGTGATCACGTTGAGTCTGGCGAGGTACCCACCGTGAATCTGAAAAATCAGATTCGATGACATCAGAATCTTTTGTTTTGGCGGAATCAGAGAGGTTGAAAAAGGGGAGGTGACAGTTCAGAAAAGAAGTGTTAGTGCTGATGCTGAGTTGAAAAATGAAGGTGAGGTTACAGGAAAGGAAGTGTCAACTGGTGAAGAACCCCCTGAAGGACAAGGTGAAAACATTGTAGACGATAGTTGGCTTTACGAGGAGGTAAAGGTTGGAAGGGTGGGAGCCGACTTGGGTATAGGGAGCAATCTTGAGGAGGAGGAGGAACAGACTAATGAGACAACTAATAAGAAGCTTTGTAATTTGAGAAGCCATAACATCGTTCATGTAACAAAGATTTTTTCAAGGCTAAAACTCGGCTTGATGGGGGCAGGACCTACAAAAAAATACAAATGGGTGTACAAGAGGAGAAGAGTGAGAAACAATGGGGCATCTGATACAGTTCATAGGGAGGCAACACAGCAAACTCAAGTCTTTGGTCCCACTTCAGATGGAGGAACATCAGGAAAGCGAGCTGAATGGGGTTGAGCATAACTCTGGTGCAAACAGGCTGCCAAGTAGTGATATTATAGACAGAAATTCAGGTGGCGTAGCCCACTAGAAATTAGTGGAGAGAGGTTACGATTGGGAAAAGTCTGGGTCTGTGTTTCTTGGGGGGAGGGGGGTGAGGGGTTTGCTAGGAGGGCCTTTGAGGAATTCGAAAAAAGAAAAAAAGGAGGAATTGAAGAAAAAAATTATCCCGGCAGGAAGGAGGATGTCTCAGATCAAGAAGATATTCTCACGGATGAAGATTGAAGGGGGACGATTCAGGGAGGCATTTTTGAGGTGGATCAGTTGTTGGTCGGTGATTGTTGTATTTTTGAGTATCTGTTTTGGGTATGTTAAGGGTATTTGCTTGGCTTATTCTGGGTATATGGGGGTGCTGTTGCTCTTTGGTGATATCTTATCACCTCTGTTGTATTTCATTCCTTTTTATTTTAATAATTTTTTTTGATCAGTGAAAGTAATTTTATTAATGAAAAGATATGAAAATTAGTGCAAAGATTGGGTAGCCTCGGCTACCCGCTACCCCACTGTCCAAAAAACATTCTACCCAAATTTGCCTTACAATCTTACAATAGAGCCCAGAAACATTGTTCCCTATTAGCCCCTTGCTTTGCTAGCTGATCCACGAACCCATTTGCCACTCTTGGAGTCCACTGAACTAATAATCGAATGTCCTTTGTGATGTGCTTAATTTTCTTGATCTCATTTCCGAATATCCATGGAGTCTTTTGATCCTGTTTTAGGCAGCTTATAATCACTTTGGAGTCGCCTTCAACAACCAACTTTCGCACGCCTATTTCCATGGCTTTTTGTATTCCGAAAACCATTGCTTTTAGTTCAGCTATAATGGAGTCCCCCACCCAATAGGGCCGGAAAAGAGCCCCACTACACTCCGTGTCATCTCTTATAACCCCACCAATTCCAGCCATGCCCGGATTGCCAAAACTGCTCCCATCAAAGTTTAATTTGAGGAAACCAGATTCAGGAGGATCCCAACTCCTTACTGCCTTCTTTTTTGCAGATGATGAGAATGCAACAGTCCAATTCTTGAAAATATCATCCACAGTAAAATCTGAGAATAAATCCATCGATTTTATCCATGAGATCACTTTTAACATTGTCCCTTCTATCAGTATTTCCTTGAACCTTTTCTGTCCTTCAAAATTCTCTGATTTCTTTCCTCCCATAACATCCAGAGTACTGCTGCCTGTGTGCATCTCCATAGAGTTTTTCCTCTTCATTTTGGCCACCTGAAAGTGGAGGCTTCAAACAGTCTTGCCAAGCTCACTGGGGTGTCCCACCTTCATCCAAAGAGAGAAAAAAACCAATCCCAGATGCTGCTAGCTACAGGACAGGAAACACAAATATGAAGAGCAGTTTCGCTATTTGATTCACACAAACAACACCAATTTGGTGAGAGGCACCAGCCAGGCCTCTTCCTCTGCATCAGATCACAGGTGTTAATTGCACCATGGTAAACCTCCCAACAAAAAGTACCCACTTTAGGGGGAATAGGGCGACACCAGACTTCTTGGACTGGAAATTGGACCCCAGGTTGGAAAGAAGTCAGGGTCTTGAAGAAAGATGCACAACTGAAAGCTCCAAGAGGGTTAGGAATCCAGATTCTAGTGTCTTGTTTAGCAAGATCAATAAAAACCCCGTCAAGCAGCTGAATGATAGAAGGCACCAAATCCAACTCCGAGTCTCGCACATTTCTGTGGAGACCCAGATTCCAAGAAAAACCAGATTGTGATGGAGAAGTGGATAGGAAATCAGCAACCGGTTTGCCCTTAAGGCAGGACAAAGCATAAATTGAAGGGAATAAGGTCTTTAGAGAAGAATCACTCATCCATACATCTTCCCAAAATCTAGATTTATTACCTGAGTTGAGATCAAACCTGACATGATTGAGGAACAATGGAAGTAGTTTGTGAATCGCTTTCCACGGTGAAGCACTAGAAACCCTGTAAGACACTTTAGCATCCTAACCATTTTCAGAGAGCCCATGAATACTAGTCACAATCTTGTGCCACGGCCTGTCAGTTTCTTGTGGGAACCTCCATGACCACTTTTCTAGTAGAGCCTCGTTCTTCTCCTTCAACCTTCCTAAACCCAATCCTCCACATTCTTTCCTCCTGGATACTAGCTCCCATCTTACTAAATGATCTTTCTTCTTCTCGCCCAGTTCCCACAAAAGGTTCCTCATTATTCTCTCTAGTTTCTTTCCCACAGCTTGAGGCATGCTAAACATCAAGAGGTTGTAAACTGGCATGTTTGCTAGGGTAGATTTAATAAGAGTAATCCTTCCCCTCCAAAGAAATATAGTTCCTCTTCCACGTAGTGAGTTTCTTTTCAAACCTTTCCATGATTGAATTCCAAAATCCTACACTTCTGGGATTAGCACCAAGGGGAAGGCTTAAATACTCTAGTGGCCAATCACTTCTTAAGCAACCTAGCTCCTCAGCCCACACATTAACATCTTCTTGTGTTAAATTGATCCTGCCACCTGACACTTATTAAGGTTCACTCTCAGATTTGTTACTTTTTCAAAGAGTTTTACCAGCAATTGTAGGTTTCTTGCTCCTAACTCATCACCATCCTCACAAAAAATAATGATATCATCTGCAAATTGTAGATGAGTTATCACCACCTTCTCCCTTCCTACTTTCCAACCCTTTACAGACCAGTCTTCTCTGCCTTTGAGATCAATCTGCCAAAGATCTCGGCTAAAATGGTGAAGAGGAAAGGGGATAAAGGGTCCCCTTGTCTCACTCCTCTTAGGGCACCAAAGAAATCCTTGACTGCACCATTTTACCAACACAGAGAAATGAGAAGATTGTAGGCATCCTTTAATCCATTTACACCATCTTGCACCAAAACCACACTTCCTTAATGCTTCAATTTTTTTTTCAATAATAGGGAAAGGAAGGGTGAAGAAACCATTGAAAATGTTTCTATTAAAGTGGCACATTGGGTGAAAACTACGGAGGTTTTTTCATGTTTCACAGTGGATGATATTATTAGAAATTGGAGATAGGTGAAAAATCCATCCTCAAGCACCTCTAAACCAATAGTTTATTGGTACCCCCACCATCAGGTACAATAAAGCTAAATTTTGATGGATGCAGCTTGGGTAATATGGGACAATTGGAAGTGGGTGGAGCATTCAGAAATGAGTATTGACACATCTTAGATGTCTTTTCCAGACCTTTAGGGGTTAGAGATTCAACTAAGCAGAAGGGTGGTCAGTTCTTATGCTTAAGAAGGGCAAAAGTACTCAACTTGAGAAACTTGGAAGTTGAAGGTGATTCCAAGTTGTAATGGACTGGCTGAATGGTAATAAGGAGAATCCTTGGAAATATAGATTTGTTTTAAGAGATCTACAAAGATTAATGGGAGAGATAAGGGTGCAGGTGAGATGGATATCAAGAGCAATTAATGATGGGTTGGCAAAGTAAGGGGGGCATCAAAGGAACAAATGTATTGGGGACAGTTTGCTTAAGAGGGGGGAAGTTGTATTCTCTGAGGTGGTTGGTTGAGGCTAACTATCCTTAATGGGGTCTTTGATCATATTGTAATAAAAGCTTATTCATTATTCATAAAAAAATAAATAAAATATTGTTTTCACTGGCAATATCTTATCATTTGGTCATCTACGAAAAATATCATATCCTTATGTTTGCTGCCATCATTTGTGTGCTCTATTTGCCTATCCATGAAATAGTTCTTGGATTCAATTTTCATGGCCATGCACTGCCTTTCCTTCCTAGTAGCTGATATAATTGAGCAATGTGCAGGAGCTGGAAATTTATTAGCTGTATTTTTGTTTCCCATTCTTATTTATTACTGCCGCCTCGGTGTTACTGGTGCTGCCATTTCGACTGTTTCATCTCAGTATGTTCTTTCACATTTCATTATCTTTATCACACTTAAGTCAACCATGACCTTCTATGTCTTGTCTTGAACTTTCAGGTATGTTGTCAGCTTTTTTATGCTATGGTTTCTTAACAAGAGGGCTGTGTTGTTACCTCCCAAGCTGGAAAATTTGCATTTCGGTGGCTATTTGAAATCTGGTGTGTATCTTATAGTTGCAAATAACCACTTTGGGCTTCTTTCCTATTTTACCAAAAAAAAAATTAAGCAATTCTTTGGCTTGATCAGTCTATGCTTTAACTGTATGACAGAAATTTAATGTCTTTAAATTTGAATATTATTCTGCATCCTAGAATTAGAATTGAGCACAAAGTTCTAGCATATACAATTTCTATATTTTTGATACCTCTTTGGATTTCTCATGTATATCAGCTCTACATGAAATGGGCTTTGTCCATGGCTTTGTACATGAACAGATATGCCAATTAGTCAATCCCTTGAACTAAATTAGGAGCAACTTCCTTTCCCAGTTTTCCTTCACCTAGAAAGCTGATATAATTCTATCAATTATACATCGGCACATCTATCAATCCTTTGTTTACTTAAATTGAGCTCAATTTTGTTTTCCTTTTTTTATCAGCAACTATTATTAACTTTGTTTTTTTGATCAGTGAAAGATAATTTTATTAATTTTTAAACAGATTACAAGTATTTTACAGAGTAATAAAATAAAGAAAGGTTCAAGAATACAAGGATCATGAACCCTCTATTTTTTAACACATTCAAAACTACAGTTTTGCCCAAAATAGTGAAGGCCTATCAATTCCCTGTTTTGCTAGGGTATCTGCCAGTCTATTTGCTGTCCTTTTGGTCCACCCAAATGTAGAGCTAAATTTCTTAGCCAGTAGCTCAATCTCCTGGATTGCAAATCTGTACTTCCATGGTGCTGAGCTCACTTGCTTAACCCAAGAGATGACTAACAGTGAGTCCCCTTCCGCTTCCAATTCTCTAGCTTCTAAATGCACTGCTAATTTCAAACCTTGCAAGAGTGCCATTGTCTCTGTCTGAACCGAGTCTCCATGCCCAATTGGTCCTAACAATAACGCCACAATCTCTCCAAGATGATTTCTGAAAACTCCCCCTATTCCAGCCCTCCCCGGGTTCCTAAAGGAGCTACCATCAAAGTTCATCTTCAATTTATTTGGCCCTGGTGGTTTCCAATCCACCTTGGTCCGTTCTTTTTGCAATTCCATTTGTGCCACCTCCTTCCATTTTCTTATTATGTTATTTGTTGAAAAATTTTTGAAGATATCTAATGTTTTTACCCAGTGTGCAGATCTGATTTTTATAGTTTCAATTACTTCCTCCTTAGATCTGCTCTTCTCAGAGAAAATCCTTCGGTTTCTTTCTTCCCAGATGGTCCAAACTATAGCTGCTCTTTTTACCCTCCATAAGCATTTTGCCCTTTTTTTCTGTTGCCGCAGGACATTGGATCTAAAAAGGCTGACCACATCTTGTGGAGGAGTCCATCTGCATCCAAAGAGTGAGGAAAAGTAATCCCAAATACAAGACACAAAAGAGCAGGGAATTAGTAAATGAGGAAGGGTCTCACCACTAGCCAAACAGAGGATACAAACATGAGGAGAAAGGCACTTTGCTGGCCTTATTTTCATTGGCAGGAAATTAACTTTATTTATATGCTAAAAATAATGGTATATGCACGGTAATGTTACAAACAACCCTTTGTTGGTCTAATCCCACCAGCCACACATGATTTCCTTGCAAATTGCCCCAAATTGTTTTTTTAATATTTTAATTTTTTGGCTTCCAAGCTGTAGCAGACTTTGTAATTGACATTCACTTGTATTTCTCAGCTCTTCTGCCAGTTGTCTTATCTCCTCCATAATGCTTCTATATACCCATGGATTTGTATTAGGAGAATTGTAAAAATTAAACTAAGTTTAACCCATACCTTCAAGTAAGGAGTATAATTTAGAATTCCTACCTTTCATGATGAGGAAATAACTTATTTTACAGGTTGGTGATGTGGTTTCATTAAAAAACTCTAGTTTTTTGGGTTCTATCTGTAGGACTTATTTCAATTTGTAATGTCTTTGCCAAAGTCTCAAGCACACAAAAGAATAACTGTAAAAACTGCATTATTCTTTGTTAGGTGGTTTCCTTCTTGCAAGAACTCTGGCTGTTCTTATTACACTGACTCTTGGGACATCAATGGCTGCTCGTCAAGGACCATTAGCTATGGCTGCTCACCAGATATGTTTGCAAGTGTGGTTGGCCGTGTCTCTCCTTACAGATGCGCTTGCTGCATCTGGTCAGGTATAGGACCTGATAGTAGTTACTGATTACCACCTTCTAATGATGGCAACCATCAACTAACCTTTGAATTTCTCTTTAATAAGCATTAAATAAGCTAGTCTCCAACTTTTCTTAGAATAAAATGGATTTCATAAAATAAAAACAAAGAATTGGTTGGTTTATTCCCACAAGAGATGTTGCAGGTCTCTTCCCCTTCTCTTATCACTCCTGGTTTTCTTTATTCTTTTTTTTTTTCCTGGAAAGTATTGTGATCAATGCCAGAAGACATGAACATGCAAAACATGTTAAAACAGCCGCATGTTTCTTTATTATTTTTGGGTCCTTTACTAAAACACCCCCTATAGTTTCACATAATTATTAAGATCTATCCTACAGTTCGCATATTACTAAGACACCCCCTTTACTTTGCAATCGCTTTACTTATTGCTGGTTCTCTTAGACACAAGTATAAAATGACATTTTTGACCTTAATGTCTATTTGAACAAAATAATTAAAAGAAAAGAAATAACTGAAATCTGTACAAGCATGGCCTGAAAAAGAAGTGGTTGGTTTCTATAAAAACCTATACAAGGAGGGGATGCAGGTGAGTTTGGGGGTGGAGGATATTCAGTTTAACAGTTTATCAGAGTCACAGAAACTGGATATTGAGAAGCCTTTCTCGGAAGATGAGGTCTGGAAGGTAATAGTTGGGTTGGAAGGAAAGAAAACACCAGGGCATGATGGTTTCACCATTTTATTTTTTAAGAAGTGCTGGGAATTCTTGAAGTTAGATGTCATGAGGGTGTTGAATGAGTTTCACGAGAAAGGAGCCTTGGAATGCAGCCTAAATGCCATGTTTATATCCTTAATTCCTAAAGACAGTGGGTTCACCTGTATCTTGGACTACAGACCAATAAGCTTACTGGGCAGTTTTTATAAAATCCTAGCTAAGACACATGCAAACAGAATGTATGTATATCTTAAGGAGCTTATTTCAGAGTCCTGGGGATATTTCATTCCCGACAGGCTGATGCAGGAAGGGTTTTGGTAACTAACGAGTTAATTGACTCAAGGATCAGGAATGGGAGGGTGGGGTGATTTGCAAGATTGATCTAGAGAAGGTTTACAACCATGTTAACTAGAGATTCCTGGAGAAGTTGAACTTTGGTATCAAGTAGAGGAATTGGGTTAAGGTCTGCATTTCAATGGCCAAGTTCTCCATACTCTTAAATGGGTCCTCCTCAGGTTTCTTTGAAAGTTCCAGGGGCCTTTGGCAATGGATCCTTTCCCTGCTGTTATTTATGTGTGGTGGGGGCACTTGTGAGAATGACAAAAAGAGCTACAGAGGGGGGTTGTTGAAAGGTTTCAAGGTCGTTGGATGATACCTTGTTCTTCTTAGAGGCAGACAATAACCAGCTTTTCCACCTTAGGATGCTACTTGCTTGGTTTGAAGTGGTGTCTGGACTGCAGGTGAACTTCCAAAAGAGTGAAATATTTTTGGTGGGTGAGGCCGTAGAGGGTCAAAACTTAGCAGCTGAACTGGGTCGTAAGATAGGGTAGTCTACCTGCAAAATGTTTGGGCCTTCCAATTGGTGCAAAATGCACATCCAGAGCATTTGGGAACTGGTGATTGAAAAGATGGAGATTTAGGTACCTATTCAAGGGTGCTAAGATGACTACTAAATAGTTAACTAGTAAAATTTCCTACTTATTTCCCGACTTTGTTTCCAATCCCTGCTACAGTGGCATGCAGGTTGGAAAAAGTTAGGGATTTTCTCTGGAGTGGCAAAGATTGGGCACACAAAATCCACCAAGTTCAGTGGGAAAAGGTGTGTAGTACTGTAAGTACATGTAGTTTACCATCGCACTGATTACAATGAGGATCTTGATGGCACAAAGGTAATCATGATACGAGCCACGACGAACATTACATTTTCCATTAAAATCACCGTAGGTGTGATCGCAGGGCTTTGCGATCATTCCCGATACAGGATCTTGGGCAAGCATAAAAGGGGCTGAAGTTAGAAATGCACCCATGTGAGAATCTTAGAGGATATGGAAACCCCAATCCCAAAAGATCCTCATTGGATACATGGCAAAACCCCAATAGACGCTTCAGCGAATCATGGACACTTTCCTGAAAAAGGAAGAGCACTTCCTTTTAACCCTAGCCATGCAACTATAAAAGGGAGACAACTCTCCTTCCACGGGAGACACTACCAATAGCCCTAACCCTAGGGTTTCTTAGGGGACCTCTCTACCTCTTCTCCTCTCTTCCCCATCGTTCTCTCCAGACCTTTGGAGGCTTGACCGACCACTTATCGAAGTTCATGGCTATTACAAGTTCAGTGGGAAAAGGTGTGTAGTCCTTTGTCTGCGGGAGGCCTCGAGGTGTAGATTGTGAGTTAGTTTCTTAGTGTGGTCCTTGGAAGTAGGGGTGGCCATGAGCCGAGCTCTTCACGAGCTACTCGAGCTCGGGTCGTGAAAAGCTCTATTCGGTTTTAACTGAGCTTTGAGAGCTCAAGCCCAATTTATAGGCTCGATTAATAGACGAGCCAAGGTTGAATATATATAATAAAATTATAGAAAATGGTATATATAATAAAAATATTATAATTCTTAATTTTTTAAATATCAAAAAAAATATTTTTCATATATAATATTTTATTTTTATAAAACCTTTTTTCTCAAATCGAGCTCGAGACGAGCCGAGCTCGAGCTTATGAGTTTTTGACTCGAGCCGAGCTCGAGCTCAATGTTCTAGCTCGAATCGAGCTCGAGCTCGAATCCACCCCTACTTGGAAGGAGATTTAGCTGTCTTTTGCACCCACTAAAGCAACTTCTTGGTATGGTCTGTTGTGAATGGGAAATGCCTCACTAAAGTCTAGCTAGCTAGAATTTTTTTTGATGAATGTCTAGCTAGCTAGAATTGGAGAAGGGGACTCTCTCAGGGCCGAGATCTTTGTGGTTTTGGGAGGAATCCAAAGAGCAAGACAATTGAACATTATAAGATTGGTCCTTGAAAGTGGTTTGGTGGTGGTTTGATGGCTAAAGGTAGACAACAATACCATGTGGAGCTATAGCAATGAAAGGAAAAAGTTCAAATTGTTTGCTAGGGACATTGAGGTGAAGTACAATTGGGTGAAAAGAAATGCCAACTCATTTGCCGATGGGTTAGCTAAGCAAGGGGTGAATAGGGTGTCTTTGTTTTGTGCTAATTTCTAATTTATCTCTTTTTGTAATTTGTTGATGGGGAGTTAAGTCATTTTGTATCCCCTATATCTTGTAATTGCTTCCTTCTATTTTAATAAAGCTAATTGTTATTGATAAAAAAAAGTATGGCTAGCTAGAAGGGGTTTGGGGTTTTTGATTCTTTGGAGTGCTTGATGTCTGGTCAAGCAAGAGAGTTAGTGGATCAGTTGTTCCTGCATTGCAGGGTTGCTGGTCTGCTAGACAACCACTTCTGTAAGCTTCTAAATGTTAGCTGGTGTCTTCCAAAGAGTTTCTTTAACCTGTTTAAGGATTGGAAGCTATGGGTGTTGATTCCCCTAGTGGTCAATTGGATTGTTTGGAAAGAGAGAAACCGAAGGGTGTTTTGAGTCCAACAAGTTCTGAAGATGATGTGTTGCATGGGGCTCTAGCAACTTTACTTTTTTTTTTTTTTTTGATAGAAACCAAGAGGGGCTACACAAGACAGGGGGTAGTATGTCCCCATAAATCAGACTTAGAAATACAAGCTAGATTCCATGGAAGATCACTAAGATTGAGACTTACTATACCCTGTAGGGAAGAAAAAGCTTGATTGGCGAGTCAGTCTGCTGCTTGATTAGCTTCCCGATACACATGATTGTAGACCAAGTCTTCGTTTGCTCGATTCTTCAAATCCAAACACTCTTCGATGATGTTCCGTAGATTCCATGGGGGTTGATGAGCCATTTCAGACAAGAAATCATGATCAAGGAGTCGCCTTCAATGATGATGGAATGGTTTGGGAAATTCACTGCCAAGTTGTGGGCCTCCCACGCAGCCCAAGCTTCCGCCAAGTTGATTGTCGTAGAACCTAAGTGGTAAGCCTTGTAATCTACCACCTCACCCATGAAGTTCCTAGCTATGGCTACGACTGAGTACAACCCATTGTTTAGTTAGGACGCATCGAAGTTAATTTTGATAGTACCGGTATTTGGAATTTTCCACACAACATACTTGCACGACTAATGGGAATCAACTCCATTAGGCTTCAAATTGGTTTCATAATATTCCGAAATGGACGATAGAGCTCTTTCAATCACCACTTGAATAGGGGTTGACACATTATTAAAGGATTTTTGGTTTCTATTTTTCTAGATATACCATAATAAGAATGCACACTTTTCTCTTTCATTGCTTCCTCCATCTGAATTTTGCTTACCAATTTTAAGCCACCAATCTTCCAATGAAAGATTAAATCCTGAAGGACCCTCCAAAATGGGATTATTGGCATCTCAAATTTGTTTAACAAGTGTACAATTCTTAAAAATATGATCTGCATCCTCATTATCTCCACAAAGCTACATTTTCCATCCATACTTAAACCTCTATTTTGCAGAAGCAATTTTGTTGGGAGTATTTTATTCAGAAGGAGATAGAGAAAAGTTTTCAATTTAGGTGGACAATTTATCTTCCAAATAGTCGAATTCCACTTTGGGTTCAACTCTTCATGAATAGACAAGTTACATTTTAATTTATAAGCAGACTTAATTGAGAAATTTCCATCACAGCCAAGTCTCCACACTAATTTATCTTCTTTTTGATTTKAGGGGATAAAGATTGATTTTATTTTCCCCCAAATATTCAAAGGAACTAAGCCACAAATTCTATTTTAAATCCATACACTCCTATTCTGATCAATAACCTCACTAAGAAGGAGATTATCATTTTCAATCCTATTAGGAGGAATAATTTGGTCCAAGGAGGTATTGCCAATCCATGTATCTTTCCAAAACTTGATAGATTTTCCATTGTTTATTTCCCAACCTAACCC